CGTCGCCCGAGCCGCCGCGCGGCAGCCCCGGGCCGAGCCGGGCCCCGGGCCCGGCGCGGGAGAAGAGCGCGGGCAAGAGGGGTCCGGACCGCGGCAGCCCGGAGTACCGGCAGCGGCGCGAGCGCAACAACATCGCCGTGCGCAAGAGCCGCGACAAGGCCAAGCGGCGCAACCAGGAGATGCAGCAGAAGCTGGTGGAGCTGTCGGCCGAAAACGAGAAACTGCACCAGCGCGTGGAGCAGCTCACGCGGGACCTGGCCGGCCTCCGGCAGTTCTTCAAGCAGCTGCCCAGCCCGCCCTTCCTGCCGGCCGCCGGGGCCGCCGACTGCCGGTAACGCGCGGCCCGGGGTGGGGGTGGGGGGGCAGGAGAGACTCACCAACGACCGATACCTCAGACCCGACGGGCCCGGGAGCGGAGCGCGCCCCGCCCGGACGCCGCGAGAGCCGCTGGGCGCCGGCCGCAGTGTCTTTGGGACGCGCCCACGGAGGAACCTACGACCTGGACTGAACCACCACTGAACTTCGAGAGAAGCTATACGTGTTTCTTTCCCCTTAAATTATTTTTATAATGGTAGCTTTTCTACATCTTACTCCTGTTGATGCAGCTAAGGTACATTTGTAAAAAAAAGAAAGAAAAAAAAAAGGAAACAAACTTTTCAGACAAACCCTTTGTATTGTAGATAAGAGGAAAAGACTGAGCATGCTCACTTTTTTATATTAATTTTTACAGCATTTGTAAGAATAAAGAAGCATTTAAAACCACCCCCGATTCCCGTATTCACAGTGACTCCTGAATGCTGGTGGCCCCAGGACCTCGCTGGGGAAGGGCACGTTCCAGTGCCAGGCGTGCAGCAAGGCACCGGGGAGGCCGCGGGACTCAGGTGTGTGTCCTTGAGGGGGGACCTGAGCTCCCTAGAAGAGGGGATCTGCTTTGCTCTTTGAAACCTGCCAGAGTCTACCTCCAGATGTTTTGTTTGCTTCAGATCGAGGAAGCACGAATAAAGGAACTCGTGCTAGACTAGTAGCTTTCCGGTGGAAGGTGCTCCCAGAGAAGTTCCGGGACTTGGGGAGGAGGCTGGCGGGATGACCGGTCCTGCAGTTGACTTAGGGGCTCCTCTGTAGGCAAGAGCCCCCCTGCCCCCCGCCCCGGGGCTCCCTAACTTCAGTTGGCTGCTGCAGGGGTGAGGGGTGAGGGGAGGGATCCGGCTCTCCGCACAGCATGTCTGAGTCGTCTTTGGCTTCCATGGGACTTTGCTTTCACTTTCCTCAGTCTTAGGTACAGCTTCCAGTAGGTTTTCCGAGTGGGTGTAAACATAAGATAGTTCTGTGGTAGATGCAAAAGACGGTCAAAAAGCTCCTCAAAAGCAGCAGTCCTGCCGGTCGTTGAAATGTTTCAAAGCTTCATCAGGACAAATCAAGCCGTTCACCTTTCCCCCAATTAAAGCGGGTACTCGGCGCCCTTTCTTGCTCTGGACTGCTAGGTCTATCTTATGTAATTTAACCGTGGCCTATCATGATTGTCTTGTTATAAAGGAGGAAACAAAATCTTTATTGCCTAAAGACAATTTATTCATCATTTCGTGTTAATTTAAATCTCTGCCAACAAAGCCAACAATAACCAATCACTCCTCTTGAGTCTGTAATCTCCGCTCTCTGTGCACAGTACCCAGCATGATTAAACAGGCCTATCGGTATAGCGAGAATCACAGCAGGTAACTTATCTATACTTTAGGAGTAACAGTTTTAAACACTTAAAAATTACAAGTGAGCAGAATTTTTTTCTTGCTGTTTTAATACTGCCTAAGATGAAGTACAAAATGAAGGCCTCAAGCTTAGTTAAGTTTTAATATAACATGTTCCTGAATTTGCACAAAGGTCGTAAAATATAACTGTAGAAAAAAGCATTTTGAGGTATAGTTTACAAAATTATCTTGCTAACATTTGCCCTAGAAAAATCTAAGTTCCATTTCAAGATCATACAGTACACTCACTCTGCCCGTAGTTAACAAATAACTACCCCAACCACCACCACCTCCGCTGCATCACAAAGTTCACAGCTCCTGCGGCTACGGGCAGTGTCGGGAAGAGGCTCTTCCTGCAGTCAGGAGCTCAATTTCCTCCAATCCAACGCAGCTAGCCGGGTGGGTGGTTACGGACCGGACGAAACAATTCAACAGCCCCACCTCCTTTCCGAGGACACTCTTCACTTCATAACTCTGCAGTGACAGAAGGCATGCTGGTTAAAGCAAATAGAGCTAGCCCTGGACGTCCTGTTCCCAACAACACAGAACACCAAAGAGCAGAGCAGAAGGTCCTTCCCTTAGTCTGTGACCTTCCACTTTTCAAATGGTGAGAACGACAGGGTGAGGAAGAAAAAAAGTGACAGGCTAGATAAAAGCCCTGTTGATTATGGCAAATGAAGGAGCTCCTGTTTTCTGATCTTTGTTAGTGGATGCAACGACAAGGACGTCCCAGCTGGCTGTCCTCGGAGAGGAACTGGGGACTGACATACAAAGGGATGTGCCCCGGTCTCTAGTGGGAAGGCTGGGGGCAGGGCACGCATCATGCTTGCAGCTGTCTTCCACTTCCTTTGGGACACTTCCCCAATCTAGCAACACTTCTGGTCAAAGGATTGCCTGGTACTTTGCCCCAAACTTCCCTCCTTAACAGGATCCCGTTTTTTCTAGAGTAACGCTTCTCAGGCCAAACATGCAGAAAGCTTTTTCTTCACACTGTTTGTCTGAGGAGTATCTTACAGGCAGGTTTCATCTCTAGATGAGAACTCAGGGCACTGGACAGCATGGGAACCAGATGACTGTGCTAGGAAGGTGTGGCAGGTTTCAAACCTCAGAACACTTTCTTCCAGGGGTTGGGGGGAAGTGGGACTGAAAATCAAGAGCGGCTCAAACTCGCTGGGATGAATCCCATCTCTGGCTTCAGCAGAGACGGAAGCCCTGGAAGGTAACAGGTTCTTTCAGAGGCTCCTTTGCTGCCACTTGCAGAATGCTATCTGAGGTGCATCACCCCTCCTCTGCGCAAGACCCCTTCACACAAGTCTACAGTAGCTCAGGTCTGTATGTTTTAGCTCACTCCTTCCATCGTTAATGTGTCTTCACAAAGGAGATGGAGGCTGGAGGGTTCTGACAACGTGGCAAAAGTAGGCACATGTCTGTGGCTCCCTGGTGCCCTCCCATCGAAGGTGGGCACCTCACTGCCCTTACCCTGGCTTAGTGACTTAGTGACTTAGTGACTACTTCTCACGGAAAGTATGGTGGAAAGGACACTGAGTGGCATCCCCAGCTTGGTCAGGAAGGAGCCCAGCTTCTGCCTACATCTCTTGGGATCCAGACACATATCGTGAGAGAAGCTAGACTGTGTGGCCAGAGCCCGAGAAGGTCCCAGGCAAAGGAGCACAGCAGTCAGTTGGGGACTGAAGGGTGTTTTGTGAGTCCAGCCTGGGCTTTGGGGCACCCACTGATGGCCCGCAGAGCTGTCCTGGCAGAGCCCTAGCCAAACTGCAGGTCTGTATGCAGAGTAAGTATGGAGGCCACCTAAGCTTTGGGGTGGTTGGTTTTGAAGCAGTAACATGATGTTCAACCTGGGATCAACCTGGGATGTGAACACTGCTCTACCGCCAGTCCACAAGACAGTTCTGCTTTCCCATCTTTGAAGTAAGGCATATTGCAACACACCCAGCCTATTCAATGTGATCAGTGGTTTCGATTTCTTCAGTGGCTTAATGGAGGGATGGGGGAGTAAGAGTTGCAGTCAAGACAGGTGAAGAGGGGTCAAAGGGCAGCTCAGTTAGTCAAGTGTCCCAACTCTTGATTTCAGCTCAGGTCCCAAGGTCATGGGATTGAGCCCCGCAACAGGCTCTGTGCTGAGTGTGGAGCCTGCTTGAGATTCTCTCTCTCTCTCTCCCTCTCTGCTCCTCTCCCGCTTGTGCACTCTCTCCCTCTCTAAAACACAAACACAAACAAAAAAAGACAGATGAAGAGGCGGAACTAAAGTCTCTCACTGGACAACCGTGGCTGAGGCCTTCCTCAGCCCCAGCTCATCTGTGCCATTGATGTCAGGTTCGTGGCCCACTGCCTTGATCATTCGTCAAGGACTTGCTATAAACCAAGAGGGGTCTGATCCTGGAGAGATGGCAGAGAACCAGACAGCCGCAGGACTGTGGGGTGCGGAGGGCGCCCATAGGGCCGTGCAGAGTTAAGGGGTCGCCATCCCCGGCTGGGAGGACTGAGGTAGGCCGGCTGGGTACTTCTTTGCTGTCTCTCACTACTTGTACATTCGTGCGTGGGGAAGTAGGAGGCCCAGGCACTCCTACACTCACTTAGGTGGAGAATTCTGGCTTGTAAACAAAGTCAGGAACAGATCATTCCTTCTTACCACATCAGATTTGGCAGCGATAGATTATAATGACCGCATCATAGTCAATAATAACTGTGTCACTGATAAGTGGAAATCAAATGATAATTATGTTTGGGGGGAATTAAGATGGAAAGGTACAGAACAGTCACACTAGCAAACGCAAGTGCACTGTTCGTATGAACGGACCGAATGTACATATGTGTAAAATGTGTCTGTTTTTAAAAGGCGCACTACATTTCCCTTCAACTTTTATTTTTCTGAAAGCTAGGAAACAAACTCCAAATTTCGTATCACTATAATGTGACCTTTGGCAACTAACATGTACAACAGCAGCCGCTCCATTTCTCACCTCTGTAGCTTGAACACGTCAAAGTTTCGGTATAAAACTTCACACTCCGGTGTCCTAACCAGAAACAGTACATCTGTTCCAGGGAGTGGAGCTATGGTTCTCATGGAAAGACTAATTTGATTCTTTGGATTTTGGCAAATGTGCATTCTCACCCAGAAAATGGACGGAATCCAGACTGCAAAACTCATGCTCATGTCTCCACAGAGGACCTTCTTACACCCCTCTTCTACCAGCTCCTTGCAGGTCAGATGTAAAGCCCTGATTACCCACTGTGGGTAAAGCTGGGGGAGGGGGAAGAAGCTGACTAAAATGTACCTCCAGGCTTGCAATTTACCCTAATTTTACTGGCGTCAGCTCTGATAACAGAGCACCCAGAAAGGTGACACCCAGGACTGTTGCCACCCTGTGCCCCTCACCCAGTGCAAATGTGCACACGTAGGCACACACAGGTGTGTACACACGCTCAAGCACACCCACAGGCAAACCCACCGGCAAACGCACCCACGCTCAGATACACACGCGTTTGCACACACACCCTTGAGCTCTTTATAAGTAGGGTTTTGCCTACAGGTGCCCCGTAGTTGAGAGGTGTGATGTGTAAGAGGTACAAGTCAGCCTCACTCAGAAGGAAATCAAGTGAAGAGATAGTTCTGCCAGGGCCTCCTCCTGATCCCCAGGTCCCTACAGAGAGGTTGGGGAGTCAAGAGCAGTGCGTGGCTGGAGGCTTCCCAGGGGGAGCACCAGGCTGCTCTCTGGAGGAGCCTGTGGGGAACCGGAGGGAGAACAGGCCTGAGCCCGGTAGGGCCCAGCCAGGGCCGCCTGAGGAACTGCGGGGCAGGTGCTGGGCCTCTGCGCCCATGTGGGCCTGCGGGGAGCCGTGCACCATCCCAAGTGCTGGTTCTTGTTTGCTGAGGCTGTGGGTTTGGGTTCATTCGCTATGTGTTCTCCTTAAGCAGAAGTTTTCCCAACACTTCCCAACTTTTTGCCCAGATAACCTAGATCTGCCACGTTTACACCTGTTTAAAGCCCCCTCCAATCCCATCAGCCTTACCCAGGATCACGCCCTTCTTTCTTCGCCTCACCCACCCCAGAGACTGAGAGATAAGGTGACGCGGAATCAGTCAGCAGGTACTGCTGTCTTGTCACCCAGAAACTTCAGGGGGAACAGAAACATACACACAAGGATCCCTGTCACCCTCCCACACTCTGCTAGGTAGTCACTTCTGGGGATAACAATGTACCCAACGAAGACTGTGGCTGCGGGCCCTGCACTCTCGTTTCTTTAGTGGTAAAATGTGGATTCTGCACTACCGAGATGTTGGGGACGTTAAATAAGGCAAAGGTGTAAGAAAAACGGTGAGCACAGTTGGCGGCCCACTGTAGTTACCGACTCACATTTTACTTGGACACAGTCAGGGAGTACTTGCTCATGAGCCCTCCCATCAGTCCCTACACGTGAAGCAGCCCTTGGGATGCAGGTTTGGCGTGGGGCTGGAGGTGTCCCCATGCTGCGCTAGGGAGCTATGCCCCCGCCGGTGCGCTGTATCCCAGGGAGAGAGCCAGAAACTCTCTTTAGGGCTCCTCGGGCAGTTCCGCCCTGAAACCTGGTCGGACCAGTGATCCCCTAGGATCCTATTCATGGATTTATCCGCGTCCCAGTTTAGTCCAAACTTTGGGAGCCACGGTTTTGAGGGAGGAGTGTGAATGGCTGCTCCACCTCCTGTGCTGCCGACCTCTGCCCCTCAGGAGGGGCTGGCAGCTGCCGGAGGCAGAAGCCCCTCGCACCTCCAGAGGAGCCCCACATTTTGGCTGCAATCAGAGCTGGAAGTTGGCCATGGGATCCCATCAGAAAGTTCTGCAGGTGACCAGCCCGCTTTTTGCCACAATCTGCCCAGCTGGCCCAAGTCTGCTACTTGGATGTGGACCCCACCACTGGCCACAGATACCTTTTGTGACCTGGGAACTGTGCCCTGGCACCATTGCAGTGGTCAGTCCCCCGTGCTCTTCTCTGGGGTTCAGTGATTCCACGGGCCACTTGTGGTGCTAGCAGATGGTTTTGACCAGACATGTCAAGGACAGACCTTTCCTGTTTATGAGGGCCAAATTTTACAAGGAAGAAACTGTCTCTAGGCCGTAAGTTATGTATGTTTAGGTGGTGGTTTTCTTGAAGGAGCACACCGCTTTACTAAGCCTCACACCACAGCAACTCTCAGGGCAGGCAAAACGGTTCTGAGAAATAACGGTAATGTTCCAGTTACTCAGACTCTGGAATACCCAGCAATTAACAAACACAAGATGCGTGCCTCAGATGTTCCCGTTCTATTAACGTAAAACCATGGCAGGCCTTGAAGTGTCAACTGTCTTACTAAAATCAAAGCCAGGGAGATAGATTCACGGATCTACTGCAAGACTGGTCAGGACAGAGCCTCAATCCCGCAAGGGAAAGGTCTCGTGAACAGACACGGCCCTTGTCAGGAAGAGACAGCGGTGTGGCGTGCCCCCGTCTTGGCCTGCTCCAAACACCGAGGACGCGCTCGGTTACACTGCGGCACTCCGCTGAACCCGAGAGTGCGGGAGGCGGGGGTCCGCACCCGGGGATGATCCACTGACTCGGGCTGAAGCGCACAGGGCTGGACACCTGGGCCGCGTGTCCCTGGACTCACCCCATCTTCGCGGGCGGCGAACCTCAGGAGCGAAGAAATACTGGCCTGGGACAGCTGCAACGACAGCGGGGCGGGCGGGTTAAACCCCAGGACGGTGCCAGTGCTCAGGCCCGCGCCCGGGGTTCAAGTCGGGTCTTCATCTCTCCGGTAGCTTCCCTCTCCGAGTCTTAGGTCCAACGTGACCGTAAGGCACAGACATGGGAAGACAGTGTTCCTGAGGGGGGGCCCTTCCCTCCCCTCCCCCAGGGAAGGAAAAACAGAGGCCGCCCTCCCAGCTGGCGCTGCGGCAGCGGGGCTCCGTGACACAGAGTGGGACGCATGCGAGCACCGCCCGCCTCCTACCTTGACCCTCACTGTGCACTGGGGGCGAGACGGGCAGTCCAGGAACACCTGCAAGTGCCTTCTGAGAAGAGGAGAGATGACCACGCGGGAGCAGTCCCCACAGGAAAAGGCGCCTCTGTTGTTTGGAAACACACAGGGAAGACAGGACTTGGAAAGCACAAATCACAAGAGTCGAGTGGTAGACAATTTTTTCTAAACACGAGTGTTTGCTGAGACAGAAAAGGGGACTTACCCTCAGAAACGAAATTCCTGAAATAGGTCAGAAAAAGCTCCAGGCTCAGCCTGTTCTGAGGGACCAGGGTCAGCCTCCCGCTAAGGGCTGCGTAGGTAAGTGATGCCCCAAGGGACGGAAGGGACACGGGCAGGGCAGTCTCATTCGAGCTGGGAGGGGGGGAGACAGCAAACATCCCACGAAGCCAAGTGGAGGCCCTGGGCTCAGCAAGCAGAGGTCAGGGCTTCCCTTCTGCCTCAACAGGACAACCTCCTCCTTGTCACCAGTAGCTATGCTCCTTACTGCCACCAAGTAAGCCTGTGACTCAAACGCTTCTTGTCTCTTAAATATGATCCAGTAATGACTTGTTTACACCTAAGGCCACCGGCCCAGGAGGCGTCAAGGAGACAGCTGTCCTTTACTTATTAAGAAGCAGAAAAGTAACAATCGGGCCTCCTCCTGTCAGGTGACAAAGTCACCTTGGGAGGCTGGGGAACCGGCTCAGAGAACTACATTGATACCCAACCCCCTGGGGCCCAAGGGAGGGTATGCAGTAACGCTGGTCCAGGGAAGGAATGTCTGTTTACACAGATGTTCGCTGGTCTCTGGAAAAGTCTGTACCCCTGCAGAGGACAAGCTGTAGAGTCACCAAGTTTGTCTCATTCATTCACATTTGCCCTGAGTTTTTCTTTTTACTCCTGACCGAAGATAAAGGAGCTGAGTACAAAACCGGGCTCTTTTCTCTTTGGTGAAGTGCAAGGACCAGCAACACGCCCTGCCATGAGGAAGCAAGCTCACCTTGCACCACGGCCTTCTAGCTGCAGTGCCGCTACTTGGCTTCCGGGTGGGAGTCATGCCTCGGCCCTGGCAGGGGAAGCTGGCCCGAGGCAGCGTGGCACTGGGGCCCTAGGACTGGCTGCGGCTGCCCTGGGGTCTTTCAGGACAGCTGCTGCATGCTTACCTGTCTCCCGGGCTCTGCTCCAGTCTCTCGTTGCCACACAGGTCACAGGTGGGCCATGAGAAAGCCGTGCTCTCATCCACACCAACCACAGTGCCTGGGCCCACGTGAAACAAAGATGGAGTCTCAGGGGCAGTGTCCGTCCTCCCAACTTCTCTCTGTCCCTCGGGCCCTAGATGCTAGTGTGAGGTTCCTCAGGTTGTTCTCTCCCTTGTGCATTTATACAAATGTTCCCAAGCTTTTTATAATTTCCATGTACTGCACAAACAAAACTACAACAATAAAAAGTAAGTTGTTTAAAACTTGCCCATATTACTACCTAACCAAGTATTTCCATTCTGCCTCATTGTTTTCAGTTTTTTTCCAGATGTGTACATACTGAAATCACTACAAGCAAGCTGTCAGGGCAGTGTCTCACACTACTTTGTAGGTTGCTGTAGAGCCATTGCAAGGACTGTCTTATTTGATATTCCATTTAAGTCACGGTTCCCTCCATATTGGACATACAGGTCTGAGGCAGTGGAAATCTTTCCACGTAAGGTCCTTATTGTACTGAGATCTCTTCCTCAGGCTAGATTCATGGAAGCAGAATCACTCTGTCAAGAGTATGAGTGTTGGAGATACAGAAACACCCTGTTACAAGCTGTCTCCCACAAGGAGGTTCACGGTGATTCACACTGTCACCATCCATTCACAGAGTGTTAGCCTCACCTCAGTATTTGCTTCCTTGGTAAGTATAATGGAATTCCTTATGTTCATTTCCACTTCTTTGGTAAGGAAAGAGAAGTATTCTTATTGGTTTGTTATCCTCTTATGTGATTTCTTTGGTTTCCTTATTTCTTTTGTAACCCAATATTTGTGATTTATTTATTCAACAAACAAATGTGTATACAATGCTACTTAGTGTGGGATATACATGTAGCGTGAAATGTATAATGATGAATACTGCAATCCCCACTCTTGTGGACTCTCCAGTCTGGTTGAGAAGACAGATGAACAAATAATAAGAAAAATATGAATATGGGAGAAAACATTCACAAAAACATACCAGATAAAGGACTGTTATCCAAAATATACAAAGAACTCTTACAACTCAACAATAACACAGACAACCCAATTAAAAAATGGGCCTAACACCTTCATAGATACCTCACCAAAAATAATATAAGATGGCAAATAAGTATATGAAAGATGTCAAACATCATATGACCAGGGAAATGCAAATTAAAACAAGGAGAACACAAACACACACACACACACACAAAATTCCAAATAATCCAATTAAAAACGGGCTGAGGACCTGACTAGATATTTTTCCAAAGAAGACATCAAGATGGCCAACAGACACATGAAAAGATGCTCAACATCACTGACTAAAAGGGAAATAAAAATCAGAACAACGAGATATCACCTCATACCTGTTGGGATTGCTAAACTCCGAAAGATAAGAAATAACAAGTGTTGGCAAGCGTGTGGAGAAAGGGGAGCCCTCATGTACTGTTGGTGGGGATGCCAACGAGGGCGGCCACTGTATGGAGGTGGCTCAAAAACAGTATGGAGGTTCCTCAAAAAATTGAAAATAAAAATACCATATAATCCAGTAATTCCCCTATTGGGTATTTAACCAAAGAATACAAAAAGACTAATTGGAAGATATATACACTCTGATGCTTATAGTAGCATTATTTACAATAACCAATTAATGGAAGCAGTCCAAGTGTCCCTCTATGGATGAATGGATAAAAACAGATGTGATACACATACACACACACAGGGGAATATTATTCAATCATAAACGAGAATGAGATCTTGCCACGTGCAATAAAAAGGATGGACCTAGAGGGTATTATGCTAAGTGAAATAAGTCAGTCAGAGAAAGAGAAATACCATATGATTTTGCTTATAGGTGGAATCTAAAAACCGAAACCACCAACCAAACAAACACAAAGTAGAAACAAACCCATAAATGCAGAGAACAAAGTGGTAGTTGCCAGCGGAGAGAGGGGTGGGGGATGGGCAAAATGGGTGAAGTGTTACAGGCTTCCAGTCATGGAATAAATGTTATGAGGAGACGATAATAGAGCTGTATGGTGACAGATGGTAGCTACCCTTGCAGTGAGCACAGCACAATGGATAAAGTTGTCAAATCACGATGTTGTACACTTGAAACTCCTGTAACACTGTGAGTCACCTACACTTCAGTAAGTAAAACAAAACAAAATACCCAACAATGAGATAACACTACGCACCTATTAGACGGGCCAAAATCCAGAACACTGACCCCACCAAATTCTGGTAAGGATATGGAACAATAGGAACTCGCAGTCATGGTCGGTGGCATGCAAAATGGTACAGCTACTTCGGAAGACAGTTTTGGCAATTTCTTGTAAAACCAAACATAGTCTTACCATATGACCCAGCAATTGTGCTTGGTGGTATTCATCCAAAGGAGTTGAAAATTTATGTCCACACAAATACCTGTATACAGATGTTTACAGCAGCTTTCTTCTTTTTTTTTTTTTTTTTAAGTTTTTATTTATTTATTTTGAGAGAGAGGGAGAGAGAACCCTAAGCAGGCTCCGCAATGTCAGCACAGAGCCCTATGCGGGGCTTGAACTCACGAACCATGAGATCATGACCCGAACCGAAACCAAGAGTTGGACACTTAACCAACTGAGCCACCCAGGCGCCCCAGCAGCTTTATTCTTAATTGCCACAACTTGGAAGCAACCAAGATGTCCTTCAGCAGGTGAATGGATAAACTGTGGTACATCCAGACAATGGGATATTATTCAGCACTAAAAAGAAATGAGCTATAATACCATGAAAGCATACATGGAAACTGAATTCATATTGCTTAGTGAAAGAAGCCAGTTTGAAAAAGCCACATACTGCATGATTCTAACTATACAACATTCTGGAAAAGCAAAACTACACAGACAGTAAAAAGATCAACGGCTGCCATGTGTTAAAGGGGAGGGAGGGTGAATAGGTGGAGCAGAGGATTTTTATGTCAGTGAAACTACTCAGTCTGATACTGTGATAATGGATACATGTTGTACATTTGTCTGAACCCATGGAAGTACAATACCAAGAAGGAACTCTAATGTCAACTCTGGGCTTTGGGTGATTATGATGTGACAATGTAGGCTCATCAACTGCGACAAATTTATCACCCTGGTGGGGGATGTTGATAATGGGGGAGGCAGTGCATGTGCAGGGGCAGGAGGTATGGGGAATCTCTGTAACTTCTGCTCAACTGTGCTGTAAACCTAAAACTGCTCTAAAAATAGTCTATTAAGGGGGTGCCTGGCTGGCTCAGTATGACTCTTGCTCTCAGGGTGGTGAGTTCAAGCCGCACATTGGGCACAGAGCCTACTTAAAATAAATAAACAAATATATAGTACATTCATAAATAAATAAAAATAGTCTATTAAATATTATCATAAAATAAATGCTAAATTGAGAAATGGAAAAGACCCTTGGAGGTAGAGAAGAGAGGCTCTCTAGCTAGCTTGAGGTCAGGGAAGGTTTCCCAAAAGAAGAGACACGAGGTGTGGTTGTAGGTGGGTGACAGGTGCTGGTGGGGCTGGAGGCCAAACAGGCATGAAGGAAAGGCAAATGATATGGCTGAGAGGTTGGGAACCCAAGTCACTCAGGGTCTTGCTAGGGATGTTAGACTTGGAAGGCATGAGAAGTCAGTGAGGAATTTTAAACAGGAGACTGAGATGCTCTAATTGTCTTGAAATGTGAAGCATTATAGATATCATCTAGATACATTAGCAAACCATAGACCATTCTTGTTGAAAAGTGGTGAGATTAGACATTAGAAAAGGTGTGACCTAAGTTTCCAGAAAAATAGAAGAATCATCCCTCCTAGTCCTGGAACAAAGATTTTCATTCTCTACTAGAACAAGCATTAGGAGAAACGTATCTGTAGGGGATAAAACAATTGTTACAACTAAGTAGGCTTGATTTATTAAAATGCATTCATGCAAGCCTACTTGAATGACTTTTTAAAAATGAAAATAATAGATCTTGATTTTGAAAAGGCTGTCCCAGCTAATTTCATTGTCCTTGCAAATCTAATCAAGATTGAGTCAAAGGGATAAAAAGTAAAGTCAATAACGGCTTATAATACAGCCGGAAAGGAGTGTTGACCAATTCACAAGAGGCAGAGGCATAAGTAGGGCCAAGCGGGATGAGGGGTTCCCATGCCACGGGTGTGTGTGCCCAGTGCCAGCTGGTTCACAGCAGTACTTGCTAAGTGTATGCTACATGAACTAATTAAAAGAAGACTGCTACCAACGAAAGTTCCTTTGTATCCTAAGATATCTTTGGGTGTTAACTGCACTTACATTTAGATGGGATTAAGCAATTTCCTTCCAGCAGGGAACAAGACACAGTTAAAGAAATGTATTTCATCTGGGGTACACACCACTGGAGATGCCTTCCAGTAACTCAAAATAAATTCCAAGGGATGGCTGGGAAGTGTACTATTAAACTGTTAGCATCTAGAACATTTGCTTAAATGAAAACAAAAGGGAAAAAAAAACCCCATTTTTTGTTAGAGTTTGAGGGTTGTAACCATATTCATTGTTTGGCTGCAATGCACTATTAGAAGCTTTTACTTTTTGGGGTGCCTGGGTGGCTCAGCTAGTTAAGCATGGACTCTTGATTCCAGCTCAGGTCTTGATCTCACAGCCCTGAGTTCAAACCCTGCATTGGGCTCGACACTGGGCATGGAGTTTACTTAAAACATAAAATAAAATAAACTTTTTACTTTCCCTATCCTATTAACAGAAATCTCTTGTAATCAGGTTTGGGAAAGGTGTATCACAGATCCATTAAAACATGTTTTCAAAAAGGTTCTTTCACAGGCTCCTTCCTGGGAAGTGCAGTGGCTCCTTTCCAGTAGGGGACAGGGCAGCTACAGGCTCCGGTATTTTCTTCAGTGACTTTCAACTCTCTGGCACACCCTCCTCTCCACTCTTGTTTTCTAATGGACAGAAGCTGGGGCTCAGAAGTGAGGCCAAAGCCTGGTCTGAAGACAGGACTTGGCCACACATTTCCAGGGAGGCAGAGTACCCTTGCTGTGTTGGTGCCCCTGGCAGTGAGCGAGACCACCACCCACTAGCAAGGGGAATATAAACAAGTGCTGAGCAATGCAATAAGATAAAAATCAATGCTGCAAAACTTTTTTATCCTAAAAAAAAGTGAACTGGGAAGAGCCCTTGCATAGTGTGGATGCTGATGATTGGGAAATGAGACCAGAAGGCCTGGCAACCCAAGCGCGTCAGTGAGCACTGTCCCCCACGGGGGCTCCATTTTCCAGGAACACTTGAGCAGATGGAGCACTCCCGCAGATGGAGGACTCAAGCAGATGGAGCACTCGTGCAGGTGGAGCACTCACACAGATGGAGGATTTGTGCAGATGGAGCGCTTGTGCATGTGGAGCACTCACCAGATGGAGCACTTGCGCAGATGGAGGACTCATGCAGATGGAGCACTCGTGCAGGTGGAGGATTGAGCAGATGGAGCACTCATGCAAATGGAGCACTCATGCAAATGGAGCACTCAAACAGATGGAGGACTCAAGCAGATGGAGCACTCATGCAGATAGATGCAGCACTTGTGCAGATGGAGCACTCAAGCAGATGGAGCACCCGTGCAGACAGATGGAGCACTTGTGCAGATGGAGCACTCGAGCAGATGGAGCACTCGTGCAGGTGGAGGATTCATGCAGATAGAGCGCTCGTGCATGTGGAACACTCCTACAGTTGGAGCACTCGAGCAGATGGAGGACTCGAGCAGACAGATGGAGCACTTGTGCAGGTGGAGATGTTTGTTCTCAGTGAAGGACTAGCTCACAGGGCCATACTCTGACTTTGTTCAAGCTCTACTCGGGGAAAATGCTCGATGTTCTGCAAGGTCCACACCACTGTTGGAGACCCTGATGCCCACCTGATTTAGCTGCTGCAGAGAGCTGTCCACCTCCCAGCACTGACCTCCTGCAGATGGTGAAAGAGCCTGCTTGGAGCTCTCTTTGGACAAGTCATCACTGGACTTTCCAGGACAGGGAAGGGCAGAGTAGAGCAAGGCTGAGTTACGGAGAAAGGGGTGTCTGCTATTGTTACCTCACTGAGTAGTAAGGACTCTAGGCTTGTGTGGCTTTGATTGGAGTCAGATCTGGACAAGTCCACAGCTGGCTGGAAAGCAGGGAAGCCTCTGTGGCCCTTTGTCCATCAGTGGGATCTGTTCACTGCCCCAGCCTCTACCTTACCTGGGCTGTTCCTGCATGGGAGACTGGGCCAATCTTTGCTATTTTGCAGCTGGGGTTTTGTTTTCTCTAAATCCCTAGTTAACTGGTTCTTATCAGGGGATCTGGCAGCTCTGTGATAACAGTGTTTACATATCCACCTGACCCACCCAGAGGCCTGCAGGATACCTTCAGATAGAGATCCACAGGGAACTCTACATTAAAGTGGTGGCATGTGAAGAAAAGGATAAAAGTCAGAAACTGGATCTACATAAACTAAAGGAAGAGCATCAGAGAAGGAATAATAAAAATTAATGTAAAACATAATAGTTTGCTTAGGTCATTAATAACAACAATGTATTCAGTGATTATACCTTATGGATAAGTGAATGTCAGCAATGTTCTAAGGAATGGGAGAGAGGAATTGAGAATATCCTTACAAGATATCTGTACTACCCTTGAAGCAGGATAGTGTTATTTCAAAGTGGACTTGGTTAGTTATAAATATATATTGCAGTATCTAGGGCAACCACTAAGGAATGTTAAAAAAAAAAAAAAAAAAAAAGCAAGCGCCTGGATGGCTCAGTCAGTTAAGCATCCAACTCTTGATTTCAGCTCAGGTCATGACCCGAGAGATCTGTGAGATCAACCCCTCTGCACTGTGCTGTCAGCTCAGAGCCTGCTTGGTATTCTCTCTCTCCTATCTCTCTGCCCTTCCCCCCCACTGTCTCTGTCTCTCTCAAAATAAATAAGTAAACATTAAAAAAAAAAAAAGAATGTTAAGAAAAGTGTAATCAATATGCTGAGAAAGAGGAGAAAATGGAGTCATAAAATACTCAATTAAAATGAGAAAATGCAGGGGCACCTGGGTGGCTCAGTTGGTTAAGCGGCCGACTTCAGCTCAGGTCATGATCTCATGGTCCGTGAGTTCAAGCCCCGCGTCGGGCTCTGTGCTGACAGCTCAGAGCCTGGAGCCTGTTTCAGATTCTGTGTCTCCCTCTCTCTGACCCTCCCCGGTTCATGCTCTGTCTCTCTCTGTCTCAAAAGTAAATAAACGTTAAAAAAAAAATTAAAAAAAATAAATAAATAAAATGAGAAAATGCAGGGGTGCCTGATGGCTCAGTTCATTGAGCAGCTTGATTTTGGCTCAGGTCATGATCCCAGGGTCATGGGACTGAGCCACTATGTTGAGCCCCACATCGGGCTTCCCACTGAGCATGAAGCCTGCTTAAGATCCCCTGTCACTCTCCCTCTGCCCCTCTCCCCAGCTCGCACTCTAATGTTAAAAAAATAAAAATATAAAACAATAAAATGAGATAAAGCAGGAGGGTGGAAGACAAGTTCCCTGAATAGAAAACAATTATAAATATGATAGATATTAATCCAATTATATAAATATTCACTTCATATGTGAATGGTCTAAAAACATAAATTAAAAGAGACTGTTAGAGTGGACAAAAAAACATGAGCTAACTCTGTTGTCTACTTCAACTGTAAAGACACATAGAGATTAAAGTAAAATTATAGAAGAAAGATATACCCTGCTAACACTAATAAGTTAAAATAGGTATATTAATTTTAGACAGAGCAGACTTCAGATCCAGGAAAATTATTAGAGAGAAGACAGAAAAGGCATTAAATGATAAAGGGGTCAATTCGCCAAGAAGACATAACAATTCTTAATGTGTATGCACCTAACAACAGACTGTGAAAATATGTGAAGTAAACTGATAAAAGTTCAAGGAGAGATAAAGAAACCCACTATTATATTTTATTTATTATTCTGCAAGACTTCAATACCCTTCTATCAATGACTGAAAGGTCCAAAGGCAGACAATCATAAAGACAGCTGAACTGAACAGCATCATCAATCAATTGGATCTAATTGACATTTATAGAATACTCAATCCAATGACAGCAGAATAAACATTCTTCTCAAGCTCACATGGAATATCCATCAAGACAGACCACAAAGTGGGGCATGAAACACATTTAAAAGTATAGAAATCATATGGAAATCAGGGGGACCTGGGTGGCTCAGTCAGTTGGGTGTCTAACTATTGATTTCAGCTTGGGTCATGATCCCAGGGTCGTGGGATTGAGCCCCACGTTGGGCTCTAGGCTGAGCGTGGAGCCTGCTTAGGATTCTCTCTCTATTCCTCTGTCTCCTCTCCTGCTCATGTGCTCTCTCTCTCAAAAAAGGAAAGAAGTCATACTAAGTATGTTCTTAGACCACAACGGAATTAAACAGAAGTCAATAACAGAAAGATAGCTGAAAACCCCCAAATAACTGGAGATTAAACAATACACTTCTAACTAACACATGGGTCAAAGAAGAAATCTCAAGAGAAGTTTTAAAATATTTTCAACTAAATGAAAATTAAAACATATCAAAACTTGTGGGGTGTAGCAAAACCAGTGCTTAGAGAGAAATTTATAGCACTCTATGCATATATAAGAAAATACCTAATATATAGCTTTCATCTTAGGAAAAATAAAAAGAGAAGCAAATTACAACCAAAGCAAAAGGAATATAAGCAATAATGAAAATTAGAAGAGAGATCAATACAATTAAAAACACAAAATCAAGAAGAGAAATTCAAGAAACCCAAATTTGATCCCTTCAAAAGATTAAAAAAAATTATCTGATAAACTTCTAACAGTCTAATCAACAGTACCAGAGACAGAAGAAACAAATTAATTTTATCAGAAATGAAAGAGGGGCCATCATTACTGATCCCATGGACAGTAAAAGGATAATAAAATAATGTTATGAACAACTCTACCCACCCCCCAAATTTGCTAAATTACGTGAAATGGATCAATTTCTTGAAATACACAGTCTATCAAAACTCACACGAGAGGAAACAGATGATCTGAATAAGCTAATCTCTATTAAAGAAGTTGAATAAATAATTCATAATCTTCCAAAACAGAAAATACCAGGACCAGAAGGTTCACAGGCAAATTCTACCAAACTTGTAAGTAAGAAATCATACCAATCCTCTACAATCTCTTCAGAAAATAGAAGCAGAAGGAATATTTCCTAAACTCATTCTATGAAGACAGCATTACCCTAAAATAAAACCAGATAAAGACATTACATGAAAGAAAAATACAGAATAACACCTCTCATGAACATAAATGCAAAGTCCTTAACAAAATGTTAGCAAATCTAATCTATATAAAAAAATATATACCATAACCAAACATGGGATTTATTCCAGGTATACAAGGCTGGTTCAATATTTTAAAAAATCAATTAATGTAATCTGTCATATTAATGGACTAAAGAAGAAAAATCATATGGTCATATCAAAAGATGTAGAAAAATAACTTGGCAATATCCAACACCCAGCCATGATAAAAACTCTCAGCAATCCAGGAATAGAGAAGATCTTCCTTAACTTGGTAAAGAACACCTACAAAAACCTACAGGTGGAAGAAACCAATAAAGAAGTCATATGTAGGAAACAGTGACTCAAACTTAAATGATTAATATGAGGGAGTCCTAGGACAGTAGTTAAGCAAATAGTTAAGACTGTCTTGGTGGGGGAGAAAGCTCTAGGAGGGAAATTATAAAGGAAAAGGATAACTCCAATGATTTGTCATAATTTTTGGAGATTTGAAAAAAAAAAGTGTGGTACAGGCAATGCAAGGAAAATGAAAGTCAATATAAAATTCCATGAGGCAAACCCCATCAAAAAATCCCTATCAGCATTCTTCACAGAACTAGAACAAACAATCTTAAAATTTGTATGGAACCAGAAAGAAAAGAAAAGAAAGAAAAAACCAAAGCTGGAGGCATCACAATCCCGGACTTCAAGATGCATTACAAAGTTGTAATCATCAAGACGGTATGATACTGGCACAAGAAAAGGCACTCAGATCAATGGAACAGAATAGAGAACCCAGAAATGGACCCACAAACGTATGGCCAACTAATCTTTGACAAAGCAGGAAATATTCCAGCGGAATAAAGACAGTCTCTTCAGCAAACGGTGCTGGGAAAACTGGACAGTGACATGCAGAAAAATGAACCTGGACCACTTTCTTACACCACACACAAAAATAAACTCAAAATGGATGAAAGACCTAAACGTAAGACAGGAAGCCATCAAAATCCGAGAGGAGAAAGCAGGCAAAAACCTCTTTGACTTTGGCCACAGCAACTTCTTCTTTTTTTTTTTTTTTTCAACGTTTTTTTATTTATTTTTGGGACAGAGAGAGACAGAGCATGAACGGGGGAGGGGCAGAGAGAGAGGGAGACACAGAATCGGAAACATGGCCACAGCAACTTCTTACTCAACATGTCTCCAGAGTCAAGGGAAACAAAAACAAAATTGAACTATTGGGACCTCATCAACATAAAAACTTCTGCACAGAGAAGGAAACAATCAGCAAAACTAAAAGGCAACAAATGTAATGGGAGAAGATATTGGCAAATGACATATCAGATAAGGGTTAGTACAAAATCTATAAAGAACTTTTCAAACTCAACACTCAAAAAACAAATAATCCAGTGAAGAAATGGGCAAAAGACATGAATAGACACTTCTCCAAAGAAGACATCCAGATGGCCGACACATGAAAAATCATCATTCATCATCAGAGAAATACAAATCAAAACCACAATGAGATACCACCTCACACCTGTCAGAATGGCTAACATTAACAAGTCAGGCAACAACAGATGTTGGCGAGGATGTGGAGAAAGAGGATCTCTTTTGCACTGCTGGTGGGAATGCAAACTGGTGCAGCCACTCTGGAAAAAAGGATGGAGGTTCCTCAAAAAATTAAAAATAGAACTACCCTACGACCCAGCAATCGCACTACTAGGCATTTATCCACGGGATACAGGTGTGCTGTTTTGAAGGGACTCATGCACCCCAATGTTTATAGCAGCGCCATTAACAATACCCAAAGTACGGAAAGAGACCCAATGTCCATCAACAGATGAATGGATAAAGATGTGGTATATATATATATATATACATATATATATATATATATATATATATATACACACACACACACAATGGAGTATTACTCGGCAATCAAAAAGAATGAAATCTTGCCATTTGCAACTCCGTGGATGGAATTAGAGGGTATTATGCTAAGCAAAATTACTCAGTGAGAAAAAGACAAATATCATATGACTTCACTCATACGAGGACTTTAAGAGACAAAACAGATGAACATAAAGGAAGGGAAACAAAAATAATATAAAAACAGGGAGGGGGACAAAAGAGAAGAGACTCATAAATATGGAGAACAAACTGAGGGTTACTGGAGGGGTTGTGGGAGGGGGGATGGGCTAAATGGGGAAGGGGCACTAAGGAATCTACTCCTGAAATCATTGTTGTGCTATATGCTAACTAACTTGTTTGTAAATTAAACAAACAAACAAAAAACCCCAAACAAGGAAACAGAAGTACAGTATACTATTTTCCTATTCAGTGAAAAATATTTATATAATCATAACACTACAAATACCATTTATTGATTTTCACCTTTGAAAATCTAAAAAAAAAAAATCAATCTGTAGACAGTGTTCAAGGCTTCATTATGGTTATAGAAGAGAATATCACCCATCTTTATACTATAAAGTACAGAAACAACTGTAGGAAGGTGGCAAGGAAGAGTGGAGTAAAAGAAGCACAAAAGAGCTAATATTTTTTCTTGCAAAGTATGGAATAAAGAGATACTATCTTTACCAGAAAGAATGACAAATAAACAAAACCCCTACAGCTGGTTGACTAAGTAGATGCTTTCCCCTTAAGATCAGGAACAGAGCAAGGAAACCCCCTGGCCCCATGTCTGCTCACTTCCATACTGCGGTTCTAGCTGAAACGGTGCTACAGGCGGTAGCAATTCTTATGGTCTTACAATAACAGGGTCCTGAACAGCTTAAGCAGTGTGGGTGCATGGTGGTTCCCCTCAAATGTGGGGCAGAGAACACTGCTCCCACACCCTTCTCTCTCCTCTGGGCCCCGGACCAATCCTGGGCTCTGAGAGAGGTGAGGGGTAAGAGAACAGGAGCAACCGCTGGAGAGAATGAAGGTGCAAGGGGGGCCTCTGGAGGTGGAGGAGATGTGCCAGCGGTAGCACGCTGTGGGCACAGTGACGAGGACAAATGCGCAGCGCATCTATCTGCTCCGGGGCATACGTCTGCAGCGTGCACGGTCCTCACAGCCTGTGTGCCCAGGGGCCCAGCGCAGCCAGCGCTCAGATGCCCCAACAGTCCAGTCAGCCTCTGCAGACTCCCAGCCCTTCCTTACCGGCATGCTTCCAAACAGCCTGCCAGCAACCAACCCTGGCTCTGTACCACAGTCTATCTACAGCGCTCACAGAATTGCTTCATTTAAGACAACTGATCACACAGCCTCCGTGGCTGGCATGACTGGGAACAGCAGAATGAGACAGAAACAGCTCCATCCCAAGAGGTCCCTGACTCCTCCAGCACAGAAAGCTTTTACAACTGCCCTTGGCATCTCCGTGGGTTTTCTATATGGCCTTCATCTGTCTGGAAGGCCTTCCCCAGCTCTGCCTGACAAATCCTGACGGTCCCAAGGCCACCCACCCGCTGCCTCATGGGCTTTTGCTGTCATCCAGCCCTCCTTGTCAGGGGCGGTCATCCTTCTCCACTAGTCGGTGAGCACTCCAAGCCCCCAAAGCCTCATGTGCATTATCTCGTTTAACCCTCAACAATGCTTTAAGGTGGATTCTACTAGCCCTGTGTCAGGTGACAAAATGGAAGAGTCTGCTTTCTTCGGGACCACCAGGCTATACTGCTCTCACTTCTCACTTTGAATCACAACTTTAGTTATGTTTTGGCCTTAACACTAAAAGAAAATGCACAGAAGAGAAGATCCAAACCGCCCGAACACAATGAATAAGTGCTCAACCTCACAAGCAGGCAGGAGAATGTGAATTAGAGCAACAATGGGATCAGAGATTTTGCTGTTTATAAAAATTATAAAAAGACTCAGGAATCTAATGATGGGCAAGGCTGGTGGGAACAGGTCCTCTTAGAAGGCCTTTTGGAAATAGGAATTTCTGTATATTTTTTGGAAATTAACTTAATATCTTTTAATATTAAGAATACACAAGCCAATTGTGTGGCCACTTTGGAAAACACTTTTGCATTTCTTCAAAAAGGCTAAGCACAGAGTTTCCCATATGACCCAGCAATTCCATCCCTAGATACATACCCAAAATTCGAAAACAGGGGTTCAAACAAAAAACTTGTCCATAAATATTCATAGCGGCACTACTTACAGTAGCCAGAAAGTGGAAATGACCCAATGTCCATCAACTGATGAATGGAAAAAACAAGATGTGGTGCCTCCATACAATGAAACATTCAGTCATAAAAAGAAATAAAGCGCTGACCCCATAGTACATCATGGATAACTTTGAAAACGTTATGCCAAATGAAAGAAGCCAATCATGAAAGACCATACAACGTACGACTTTGTGTATGTGAAATATCCAGAAAAAGCAAACCTATGAAGACGGAAAGTAGATCAGTGTTTTCCTAAGACCAGGGGAAGTGGCTGGGGTGGGAGAGCATAATGGCACTGACAATGGGCATGAGGTTTATTTTGGAATGATGACAGTGCCTTTTTTTTTTTTTTTTTTTTTTTTTTAAATATGGGTCTCAAACTTACAACCTGGAGATCAGGAGTTACATGCTCTACCGACTGAGCCAGCCAGGTGCCCCAACAATGTTTTAAATTAGATTGTAGTGACAGTTGCATATCTGTGAACATACTAAAACATCTTAAATGAATGAATTGTAGTGATGTAAGTTATACCTCAGTAAAGTTGTTTAAAAAATACACGAACCCTAAGACCCTGAAATCTTCCTGCAAAGAAATCAGTAGGGATTGATGTAAAGCGTGTTTATTTCAGCCTTGTTTATAATTGCAAAAACAGGGGAACATGTTTGATGCCCATCAGTGGAGAGACAGTTTATTCATAGAAGGGAATATTATGCAACAATTAATATCTTGAGTTAGATCTTTATCTACCCATCTGGATGGACATCCCTGCTAGAGTCCTAAGTGAGGAAAGCAAGCGCCAGGATAATGTGTTTTACAAAGTCGTGCAGTCGCACACACTGCCTCCGAAGGGGGCAAACGCATGTGCTCCTGTGTGTACAGAGTGCAGCATGGCAGGTGCACAGTAGGAAATAATTTCTCTTTCTCTTTATTCATCTTTCACTAGTTCCACTGGACAGGCACTACTTTTTTCACTAAAAAATTCAGAAAGTTAAAAAGGAGAATATTAATGCTATGTTGAGCCCCAGACTCACATATCCAATCAGCTACTGAAATGTCTTTTCAGATGGATCAAAACATCTAAACTCGTCAAGACATAGCTAAAATTGTGCTCTCAAAGCTGGCCTCATCTGCCACGTCCGGTTCCCTTCAACAGCTCTACTATCACCTTGCGGCCTAAACCGGGATCTCAGACGTCATCAGGTATGTTCCCAGCCTTCATCTGTGCCTTGCCTCCTCTGTACTGAATTCACTACCCAACCTGTCAGTTTCCCCCAACTAAACCGTCTTCCATGTTTACTTCACCTCTTCCCTTATCTCATGCCTTGGGACTGCTGCTTGCCCTCCCACTGGCTATTACCCAAGGCCCTGGCCCTTCCACTCTGCTCTGCAGAGACAAACACTGGATCACCCTCCTGTCAATGACAGAGCACACTCCTGCCAGGGCCACCCACTCGGGCAGTGGTTGGCCTCTCAGCCTAGTCTCCAGTCATTCCCTCCATCCAGATGCCTTTCCAGCCCCCTTCCAAACTCTGGTGCTCCCTGACACTGCCCTGTCAGCAGCTTTTACGTGTCCTGGTTTTTTCCCTTCAGACATTCTTCCTGCCTCTACTCCTTCACCTACTTAGCTACTTCCTGCTTCAGATTGCAGCACAAAGCTCCTGTCCTTGGGGCAGCTACAGTGACCTCCCTAACAATGTGAGGTCCCAGCAATCAGTACTTGGAGCACTCTGAACGCTGCAGTTCCAAGTCTGATCGTGTGCATAGCTGACTGATGTCTTTCTATATAGACTGTGAGTCGAAGAGGCAAGAACCTCTTCTGATTTTGTTCCTTATGTATCCAAAGTCTGGGACATGTGAGACAACAATAAATACTTGCTTAATGAATGAGGAAATGAATATGAAGTATGATATTTAACAAAATGTAAATACCATTTCCATTTCCACCAGGATTGACTTGACTACCCACCTTGAACGCTGCAAATGGAGTTGACCTGAGTGACAGAATCCAGTTCATTGAGCTTCACAGGGCTGGTCAGTTCACAGGAGGGAGCACTGGAGGCCATACCCAAAAGGGGCTTTTGAAGCAAAAGGACACTTCGTTCAACACAAACAATCTGACCTGCCGACAGAGACACTTCGGATTATGGAAGCACTGAAGAGAAAGTGAGTTTTCCTCCCAGTGAGGACAGTGTCCTTTGCCAGCCTCCTAAGGCTGTGTGGGCAGAGGGCGCAGTTTTGCGCCCCCTCCCTTGTGTCCTACGACACATGCACTGTGCAGAAAGGAAGTCCTAAAGCCACCAGTGTGCTAAGCTGGAAAAGCACACAAATACTAGATTCAAATTCAATTTGGAAAGGTGAATTTTGTGGTATGCAAATTACACCTCAATCAAATAAAAAATATGTAGTTTAGGCAGGATTCTAATTTGATTCCTGGAAAAAAAGAGCTGATTGATCTAAGCATATATTTATAATGTTCCAGGCATTTGTTTGTTTTAAAAAGTGATGTTTCAGGCAATGGCTTCAGGTGGCTTTTGCACCTGTAAAGTGTGCCACCAAGAGACCATCTTTGAGTGACCAACGGCATCTTTCACAGGAGGTGTCAGCACTGCAAGCGTTCTAGTTCTGTCCAGGTGACCATGACAGGGGTCATTTGAAGCCCCAGGCTGGTACCACGGGTCTCTTCCACTCCACACACCACGTCCGCAGTTGGCTTCATGAAGGGACGCAGTTCCAAATAAGTCAGAGGCATTGACAAGCCACAATGCCATTCTGTGGCGTCTATCAGTGGCTGCTGGGTCAAAACTGGGAAGAAGAAAGCATACCCTGGGCTCGGAGAGTGTCCCTGAAGAGGAAGCTGTGAGGGGTAGCCTCGGCGAGCGCTTCCACGACTTCCTGGCTCAGCACACATGAGGGGGCCACACAGACTGGTACAGTTTTGGGGAGGCCAGAGTTATTCTCATCCTGCATCTGCAGGGTGACATCAGTCACCATCAGCCAAATCTCCCTTTGCTGCGGAAGAAGCAAATCATTTAGTTACAATTCAAAGACACAGTCAAGTCTATTAACTTTAATAGCTATGCTAACGTCCAAGACTTAAAAGAAAATTAATGTTTTTAACTTATTTTTTGAGAGAGAGAGCATAAGCAAGAGAGGGGCAGAGTGAGAGGGGACAGAGGATCCGAAGTGAGCCAACAGGCTGACAGCAGTGAGTCCGATGTGGGGCTCGGACTCACGAACTGTGAGGTTATGACCTGAGCCAAATTTGAACGCTAAACCGACAGAGCCACCCAGGCGCCCCTAATATCCAAACTTTTAAAAGCAATAATGTTAGATGATTATTACAACACTATTTTAGATATCATTCCCACAAATGTTTTCAAATATGCAATAGAGTCTGCGTGTCTTGGTCACTAGCAAACAATCCAACCTGATTGACATGGCTGAGCCCTGGGAACCCCAACCCTGTACTTGTCTAAAGGGCTCCTTTGCTGGGATACAGTCTGCCCTTCCTTGGCACTAATGTATTGTCCTTGACCTACTCAGGGAGATTTCACTGCTCTTTTTGTCCAGATCTCATGTTCCCATACCCAGAATGTGAATTACCACACTGTCTTATATTTAGTCCATACACATTCTTCTCTCCTGTTAGACGTAGGTTTCCTAGGGATCAGAGATTGTTATAAACTGAATGTTCACATCCACTCCCACATCCTCAATTCATAAGTTGAATTCCTGACCTCCAGTGTGATCGTAATGGTAGGTGCGGTATTCAGGAGGTAATTAGGTCATGAGGGTGTCACCTTGATGGTGGAATCAGGGTCCTTGTAACACATGAGGCAGTTTGTCTCCTCTCCTGCCTTCCACATTGCGAGGATGCAAAGACATATCCTTTTGTAAATCAACAGGAGGGGCCTCACTGAGAACCTGACCATGTTGGCAATTTGAACTCAGACCTGTGAGAAATGAACTGCTGCTGCTTAATCCATAGCAGCCCAAACTGACTAAGACAGGCATATTTATTACTGCCCTCAGACTTTGCATAGGGCCGTGGTATAAAGCAGGAATAAAATAACTGTTGTATCTGCAACAATTTTTCTTTTTCTTTTTTATTCTTTCAAGTATATAATAGAATCTATGTGTCTTGGTCACTAGCAAACACTTGGACTTGATAATAATTTTCTTTTTTTTTTTTAAGTTCATTTATTTTTCAGAGAGAGAGAGAGAGAGAGAGAGAGAGAGAGAGCGAGCGAGCCAGAAACAGAGAGAGAAGGGGAGAGAGAGAATTCCAAGCAGGCTCTGCACTATCAGCACAGAGCCCAATATGGGGCTCCAACTCACCAACTGTGAGAATGTGACCTGAGCCGAAATCAAGACTCAGACGCCTAACTGAGTCACCCAGGCACCCCTATAATTTTCTTTCATCTGCAAAAGTTGTAATGTCTTTTAAAGTTCATTATAGTGGTATTCTGCCCTTTACCCTTGGTCAGAGTTTAGGATTTAGTAGATCCAATGAGGCCAAGGATTTGCCTGGGAAGACCCTTGTAGTCAGTAGGGCTGGACCATGACAACCTGTCTGGCTTGAGGTTCAGTTGGTGTTGCTTGCGTGGATTGATGGCATGGTCAGTTTGAGGATTCCATTTGGCTGGTTGACAGGAATGGGCAGAGAAAGTGACTTGCATGGTAGGAGCTGTGGGTTTGGGTCAAGGGGGAGCTCACATGGTTGAATGCTGATTACACATAGGAAATTAGAGTAAATTATATGGAGGAAAATGAGAGACAGGTTTCTCACTATTAGATAAGGGAGTTATAAATGTGGAAACAGGGAAAACCTAAAGTCAGTTCTGTGGTAAGGATCTACAGTTGGAGATATTGGTGTAAAATTAAGATTTCAGATATAGATGGAGAGATGGAAAGAAATACAGATTTATGTGTATGTGTGCATGGGTTTACATACGTAATACTTCCTTGTTCTGTTCACTGAGAGGGTCTGAAGGCAATAACATGCCAGTGGCAATGATCCCATCTAGTTACCAGACCTTTGTTTAAATGCTGTTTTCCACTAAAATCAACCAGGGCTCCTTGAAGAGATGGCTGTTTCCAGAGCAGAGAAAGCACAAGGTGAGTTGAAACATCTTATTGTGTCAGACAGCAAGCAAGTACTTAAAAGGATACAGGAACATGCCCAAAGGGCACATGAGCCAGCCTGAATCTGGTAAATTTGAACATCCAAATAAACAACAGTAAGATTATAACTCATTGAATAAAAACTGAATTCACTGGTCCATACTGATATAAGTGAATACATAATTAAATCAAGGAAATAAAAAGCTCCTAAGTATAGCTGAATGCAACTAATAAATATAGAAGGTAAGCTAGAGTTAGAAAACTACCATTAGGTCACTATCAGAGTAATAATTCAGGCCAAGAATCATATGGATATTAAAATGAGTGAGTAAAAGTTTGATGAAAATAGGATATTTACATAGTCTCAATGTATCTTCCTACATACAAATATCTTTCCACCCCTGTCCCACCCAAATATCTTCCTTTATATGGATCAGATAGTTACTAACTTTAGAGTGGAGAAAACTAGAAAACACCATATTTTTTTTTCAAAAGTTTTTCTTTAAATTCCAGTTAGTTAACATACAGTGTATGTTATTAGTTTCAGGTGTAGAATTTAGTGGTTCATCACTTTTATATAACACCCAGTGATCATCAAAGTGCCCTCCTTAACACCCATCACCCATTAAGCTCATTCCCTGTCCACCTCCCCTCTAGCAACCCTATTTGTTCTCTATAGTTAAGAGTCTGTTTTCTGGTTTGCCTCTCTCTTTTTTCCCCCCTTTGCTCATTTGTTTTGTTTCTTAAGTTTCATATATGAGTGAAATCATATGATCTTTGTCTTTCTCTGACTTATTTCACGTAGCACAATACTCACTAGCTCCATCCATGTCATTGCAAATAGGAAGATTTCTTTTTCACAACTAATATTATATATATCAATCACCTCTTCTTTATCCATTCATTAGTCAGTGGATATTGGGCTATTTTCATAATTTGGCTATTGTTGATAATGCTGCTATAAACATCGGGGTGCATGTGCCCCTTCAAATCTGTATTTTTGTATCCTTTGGATAAATACCTAGTAGTACAATTGCTGGATTGTAGGGTAGTTCTACTTTTAACTTTTTGAGGAGCCTCCACACTGTTCTCCATAGTTCACCAGTTTGCACGCCCACCAACAGTGCAAAAGGGTTCCCCTTTCTCCACATCCTTGCCAACACCTGTTGTTTCCTGTGTTGTTACTCTTAGCCATTTTGATAGGTGTGAGGTGGTATCTCATGGTAGTCCTGATTTGTATTTCCCTGATGATGAGTGATTTTGAGCATCTTAGATAACACCATTGTAATCAGCTGATAAAATATTACAGCACTGGGACAAATCAGCTGTGTGCTTTCTGATACGAAGACAGTATTTTTATGTGGTATTCCTGACAAAAATGCATAGCTTGAATCTAGTCATGAGCTAACACGAGGTAAATGCAAAGGGAGAGATACTCTAAGTAACTGATCTCTATTCTTCAAAAATGTTAAGGTCCTAAAAAATAAGCAAAGATGCAGAAACATTCTATTTGAAGAGGAAAGAAACATGACAGCTAAGTGCAATGCAAGATCCTGTATTGGACCATGGAATTATAAATGATTTTAGGGGAACAACTAGCAAAATCACATTTTAAAAAATGGTAGATATCTCAGGAAGGGCAAAGATTTCTATAAGATTATCTATAGTTGGGACTTCTTCTGACAGCATTCAAAGATTTTAGATACTCTTTGTAAATACCCTGGATTTGGCTTACTGTCTCTTTTTTAATTTCTTGATGGGCCAAAATTGTCTAACTTCCTTTGAAATTAACTATCAATTTATTGTTACCATTGGGGTTATGAATAAAATCAGTAACAAATAATATCCTCTGTAAAAAGACACAAATAACCAACTAATTGAAAGCTGTTCTACCATTATTATTACTAAAATTTTATTAAAAATGGATCTCTTCTGGGGCGCCTGGGTGGCTCAGACAGTTAAGTGTTTGACTCCCGATCTTAGTCAAGTCTTGATCTCATGGTTGTGAGTTCAAGCCCCGTGTTGGGTTCCACGCTGGGTGTGAAGCCTACTTAAGAACAACAACAACAAAAAAAGATCTCTTCCACACAAAAATGCCCCATTAATTTTTGACAAAGTTGCAAAAGCAATTCAATGGAGGAAGGACAACCTATCAACAAATAATGCTGGAACACTGGACATCTCTAGGCAAAAAAAAAAATGAACTTTGACCTAAACTACACACTTTATTAAAAAACCAACTCAAAAATGCAGCATACTCAAATGTAAAATTATAAATCTTCTGGAAAAGAACATAAAGCATAAATTTGGGGGGCACCTGGGTAGCTCAGTCAGTTGCGCATCTGACTCTTGATTTGGGCTCAGGTCATGATCTCACAGTTCGTGAGATCCAGCCCCATCCTGGGCTCTGTGCTGACAGTGAGAAGTCTGCTTGGGATTCTTTTTGTCTCTCTGCCTCTGCCCCTCCCCCATTCACGTGTGTGTGTGTGTGTGTGTGTGTGTGTGTGTGCGCGCGCGCGTGCGCACGTGCGCACGCTGAGCGCGTGCTCTCTGTCTCTTAAAAATAAGTAAACATTAAAAAAAAAAAATAAACTTTGGGACCTAAGACTAGGCAAAGAGACTTGACTTGTCTTAGACTTAATGACAAAGGCATGATCCATAAGAGGGAAAGTTAATACATTTGACCACATAAAACTGAAAAACTCTGCTCTGCAAAACCCCTGTTGAAAGGATGAAAACACAGATTATAGACCCTGAGAAATATTGGCAAATCACATATCTGACAAAGGCTTTGTATAGAGATTATATAAAGAACTTAAAAAATTCAGCAGTTATATTCGGAATTTAAGAAACAAAACAGATGAACATATGAAAAGGAGGGATGGGAAGAGAAGAAAGGGAAACATACCACAAGAGACTCTTAACGAGAGAACAAACTGAGGATTGATGGAGGGACATGGGTGGGAGATGGGCTAAATGGGTAATGGGCATTAAGGACTGCACTTGGGATGAGCACTGGGTATTATACGTAAGTGATGAATCACTGAATTCTACTTCTGAAACCAATACTGCAGTGTATGTTATCTAACGAAAATATAAAAAATAAAAATATAAATATAAAAGAAAATGCCATATTGAAAAAATAAATAAAAATTCAGCAGTAAACAAATAATCCAAACAGAAAATAGGCAAAAGACATGTATAGACATTTCATCAAAGAAGTTATACAGATGGCAAATAAACACATGAAAAGATGTTCAACATTATTAGTTCTCTGGATGAATCTCTAGAGAATTTTATTAATTGGGGGAAAAATAATCCCAAACAAATAGCTCCCAAAGGAGCTGTTACAGGTTGAATTGTGTCCCTCCAAAAAGATCGGTTGAAGTCCTAACTCTAGTATGTCAGAATGTGATCTAATTTGAAACTAAAGTCTTTATAAATGTAACCAAGTTAAGAGGAGATCATTTCAGCAGGCCCTCATCCAACATGACTGGTGTCCTTAAAAGAAAAGGAAATTTGGATTCTGATAGGCACAGAGGGAAGGCCATGTGAAGACACAGATGGCCATGTGCCTGGGGTGATGCGTGTATGTGCCAAGGATTGCCAGCAAACACCAGAAGCTGGAAGAGGCAAGGAGATTTTCCCTGAAGCCGTCACAGAGAGCATGGCCCTGCTGATACCTTCCTTGATTTCAGACTTTTAGCCTCCAGAAGTGTGAAATGATATATTTCTGTTGTTTTCAGCGATCCAGCTTTTGGTTACTTTGTGCAGCTGGCCTAGGAGACATCACTGATATATATTGCGTGGTCTCATTTGTGTAACTATCATGAAATGACCTAATTATGAAGATGACACCAGATTAGTGGCTGATGTCACTTTCTTGGTTAGGGTGTTAAATGGTAGCTACTCTGGGTATGAGAAGTTAGTACAGGGCAGGCTACATGGGAGGACACTATTTCTTTGCAGCCTACATGAATCTATAATTACTATTAATCTAAAAGGTTAGAATAATTTTATTCAAAATACAAGTCAAGGGGGCACCTGGCTGGCTAAGTTGGGTAGAGCATGCAACTCTTGATCTCAGGGTTGTAAGTTTGAGCCTAAGTTAGGGGCAGAGATTACTTAAAGATAAAATCATTAAAAAAAAAGGTAAATATCTTTTTCACCTACATGACTTGGCCATTTGTATAATGGAGATACAATAGAATCTTCTTTAAAAACTCAGGTTCTTGCAGTGACTCCTAGTGCCCTTCTTAAAGTCAACCAGCACTGTAATGTACAGGTGACTGGCTGGACCACACTGTGGCCCCAGGACCTAGCTTATTTCAATTCCTCCCCGAGGAAGTTGGTTTCTGGTGATTCTCTGCCCCACAAAAGCAGAACACAGGAGGTACAGAGAATTATAACGCATTGAGGAATCTGTTCCTTTGGGTTCCAAGCCCCTGTCACCTAAGTACTACCAATCCTTCGGTACATACTCCCACTGAAACCCACGCTTGCTGGCAGGCTGCACCTGTGCTAATGGAAGCCTATTTCTTGGCAGAAAACTCAGGACAGGAGGGTATCAGTGTTCTCAACTGGCCAGAAGGCAAGGCTCCTTCATGCAGTGAGGCAGACGACCTGTAGTTTGTCTCTCTCTGTCCACTGGGGCTAGCAGGGAGACTTCGCTATGGTATATCGGACACCTGCTCCCTTTACTTCCCACCTCTGCTGCCAGCTGGGGCTGTGGGCAGGTGAGCCTCTACGGGCACCAACGTGTGCTATATTGCCCCCGAGGACAGCAGCTATCTGCAGAGTAAATGGCAGCCGCACAGTGAAACACTGTCTATGACACAGTCATACGACCTGAAATGTGTTAGAATAATAGGCAATGTGCCAGCTGCCAAGCATGTCTTAACATACTAAGTGTCCCGCAGACGGTGGGTGGGGGAATTTGCAGTCAGCCTTCGGTCTGCTTCAGGGTTGGAAGGTAAGAGGCACCTCAGGTAAGCTAGACATCACCCTCAGTGAGGGCCTGTCGCCCTGCCTGTTGAGCCAAATACTGGGTGGCTCGTAGGAAGCACTGTGAATGACTGATGTCAGTCACTCTCTTATTCCTCAGGAGGGGTATCAATTCACTGTCAAACGATTAAGAAGTGAACGGAGAAGAGGAAAACGAGGATTGAACAATGGGATGGTCTGTATTCCTCCGGTGACAGATGTGCATGGATGTTCCTCTCTGAGTTAAGGTCCAGCAGAGGTTTTTTTTTCTGGCAGAACTTACGGCAGGTGTTCCGCTTACCAAAAACATCTCTTTCCCTTTTCTGCTCCTAGCTGATTTGTTGAGTGGCAAGGCGGCAAATGAGCATCTCCCCAGGACTGCCGAAGCCTCCCAGGGGCCACAGGGCTTCCTTCACCTGTCGCTAACTCAGAGCTCCTGGACGGTACTGGCAGGGGCCGAGCTCAGTCCTGAGAGTCCTCCTTTTACCCCCTTCCTACGACCTGCCTCTGTGCCAGAAAGGAATGCACAGTGCGGGGCTGAGACCTTCTCAGGCAGGCTCTGCCTAGGCTGTTTCACACCCAGGACATACCACACTGGCTGGCAGGCTGCACCTGCACAAGAAATGGATACACTGCTGCCTAGGCTAGGAGCACGCACAACTGCATTTTAAAAACGCTTTTCCATTTTAGCGCTCCATTAATTTCTATGAGAGGTTATCCTTTAGCAAACTTTTTAACACCTTATTGGAAAGAGAGAGAGAGGGATCGATTACCTGTGATCTTTGATAAATCACTCTGGCATAGAAACTGCAACGTGTACTGTGGTCATCGGTCTGGAAAGGCATTGAAAATGATTAGAACGTGACACAAAACACACACATACAGTGAAAGTAGTTAAAGACCCCATTAGAAACACAGACGATACCTGAAGAATTTCTCTTAAGAAGCGGGTAACTGGAGGTTGGTAAAGCTTAGAAATGCGGTCTTCTTCTATGACATCAATCTGTCCCACACTTGGATGAGCAGAGAGGATGTAACAGAAGCTAGGAGGAGGCACACGAGTTTCTACCTGTTTAAAATGAAGGCAAAGGCAAACATAAGTGTGCTGGTAAAGATTCAAATACATTATTAAAATCTACTCTTTAATATATAGGTATTTATTCACAGATGCATTCTATCTCCCTGGAAGGTTATATAAGAAATTGGTATGTTGTTTATCTCTGGAACAAACATAAGAACTTTTACACTTTTTGAATTTACTACGGATTCAAGATTTCATTAAAAACAAAAATTCTTCAGGAGTACCTGGGTGGCTCAGGTGGTTAAGCATCCGACTCTAGATTTTGGCTCAGGTCATGATCTCATGGATTGTGAGTTCGAGCCCTGGATCAGGTTCCATGCTGGTAATATGGAGCCTGCTTGGGATTCTCTCTCTCCCCCTCTCTGCCCCTCCCGAGCTCTCTCTCTAAGTAAATAAATACACTTAAAAAAATTAAATAACAAAAACAAAAACAAACCATTCTTCAGAGTATATCTGAAAACACCATTTAGAAACTTCTTCCTCTTTGAGCGCCTGGGTGGCTCAGTCCGTTAAGTGTCTGACTTCAGCTCAGGTCATGATCTCGAGCCCTGCATCAGGCTCCATAATGACAGCTCAGAGCCTGGAGCCTGCTTCACATTCTGTGTTCCCCCACCCCTCTCTGCCCCTGCCCCACTTATGCTCTCTCTCTCTCTCTCTCTCTCTCTCTCAAAAAATGAATACACATTAAAAATAAATAAAAAAATAAGTACACTTCTTCCCTTTTAAAAAAAATGGGTACTGTTGACAACTGTTTACTGGTCTAGCACACTACAGAGTTATAGTCTTAGCAGTCTGCTAGGAACTCAGCTACCACACAAACAAGACAGCCCCCAGTTTTCAGCTTTCAGAGCTATGGCCCAAAGCAGCCGCTGGCCAGTCTGGTGGATATACTTGAGGATGGTGAAGAAGGGACACATTTTAATCAGTCAGTTTTACTACCTGTGAGCAACTACCATAAACAATTTGATGCAGTAGAAGGGAAGTCCCTGGCTAACCGGGTAGTTGTACCAATACCATGGGTTTTATTTACCACATTATATGAGTTTGTGCTCTAATTGGTAACTGAATGTTGGTTCTAACAGTATCTGGGAGGCAGAGGGGAAAACACCCTGTGTCTTATTTAGTACGAGGCTAAGACCCTAATTATTACAATGGCATGCAGTGGTTGTGGTTTTAAGACATTGTCATAAATTAACCTCAAGAAGAATGGAGTGTGGCATAGCAAAGAAAGCAGCCAGAGGCTGGACTTTAGACTGAGGTGAACTAGTCTGAATCTCTGTCCTCCTGGCTGATAGTCACTGGACCTCGGCTTCTCGGGGATGTGAACTGTGGGCGGGGCCTGACTCAGCACCTGGCATGGTGCAGGTGTCAGTCAGGGGAAGCCCCTCAGATGCTGGCTTACCTCTTCATGGGCTTGGCCATGGCCAGGTGCTTTCAGAGGCATGGCTGGAGGCCACATGGTGTCAATCAAGCTGAAAAGCCCTGCTGTCCTGGGAAAAAAAAAAAGATGCTGTTGATGGTATTCATCACTTAAGTGCCTGTTCATGATCTGGGCATGTGCAGTTTTGCTTAACAGGTACTATCCCTAATGCCAAGGAGACACCATTCAGGATGTGTGCTGATTCGGATGGGGAAGACACTGTCACACAGAGAAATGGGCCTTTGAAATCGCGTAAGAACAGGAAGGAGTTTGTCCATTACATTGTGATACACAGCTCCCCAATCAAGTATTTTTTTTTTAAATTTTTTTTTCAACGTTTATTCATTTTTGGGACAGAGAGAGACAGAGCATGAATGGGGGAGGGGCAGAGAGAGAGGGAGACACAGAATCGGAAACAGGCTCCAGGGTCTGAGCCATCAGCCCAGAGCCTGACGCGGGGCTCGAACTCACGGACCGCGAGATCGTGACCTGGCTGAAGTCGGACGCTTAACCGACTGCACCACCCAGGCGACCCTCCAATCAAGTATTGTACAGCCATTGAAGTGGTTACATAGAAGTGTTTAACAAAATGGGAAAATGTTTCTGATACCTTGCTAATGGAAAAGCAGGCAACAAACTATAATGTCTTTCTCTATGTATGTATCTATGCACATACCTGCATGTAATAAGCCAAAAGAAAAGGATACTGAAAGATACACAAATGATTTTAGTGGTTATCTGAGTGCAGCTTAGAAGTAACACTTTCTTCCTTTGGCTTTTATGTGTTCCCTATCTTTTTCCAAAGAGGTATGTATTACTCATAAGAAGAAAAATTATCAATAAGCTATCTAAAGTAAAAAAGATAGCCAGACGTACAAGGACAAATATTATATGATTCCACTCATGAGGTTCCTAGAGCAATCAAACTTGTACAAACAGAAAGTGGAATGATGGTTGCTAAGGGCTGAGAGGGTGGGAAACAGGCGGTTAGTATTGAATGGTCATGGAGTTTTAGTTTGGGAAGATGGAAACATTCTAGAGCTGGAGGGGTGTGATGGATGTTGAACAGTGTGAATGTACTCAATGACACTACTAATGGTTAAGGTGGAAAATTTGTTATTTACATTTTATCACACTAAAAAACCCCCCCGTTTTAGTTGGTATGCACGCACGTGTGCACATACACACACATCTCACAAAGCCTTCTTAGATTTTGCTCTCTCAACAAGATAGAATGCATGTGTGAGTAAATATCTATATATTCTTATTTCTTTCAATGTTTAACAGCAAGTTTTAGGTGCTTAGGATCTAGCAGCTAACAAAACTGAACAACTCAGAACCTGAAGATGAGGGTCTTAGCTTGCACTAGACAACACAAGCACCTCCCCACCCCCTTTGGGTTCCTCAAATTAATTTCAATAGACTCGTAGGGCATGGCCTGTGACAAACACGAAGCTCAATAGCATTCCTGTGAATTTTTAGGTTTTGGGTCAAAATCAAGCAAACAAATAAGCAAAATGTGGGTAACACATGGTAAAAAGGGATTGCCTGTGAAAATTTACTCTCTCCCTCTCTTGATTAATTCTGAGAAGTACCCTGTTGCAGCTGTCTGTGTGAGTGACGGACAGGGCTGGGGGACCCAGGGCTGCCTAAGGTCAGGAAAAGCTGTCAGGGAAGGTGCAGAGGTAAGCTCATTTGACCTCTCACTGCCCTTCCCCAAGACTAAGGAATGGGGTGGGCCCGTGATGTCTCTCCCTGGGGGTGGGTGGGGTGGCAGGAAGGACATGGGACACGGACTTGCCTCTTGCTCTCTGTCTGCCACGTGCTCAGTACTTCCTGCTCCTGGCTTGGCTCCTTTCTTTTCCCGGAGCATGCCACCTGACTCATGTTCCTCTGCCGTCCTCTCACTGTTTGATGTGAGCTCCCCAGTGGGTGGGCATCAATTTGTCCTGGTTGCAGAGAAGTGCCAGCCCAGACAAACTGGTCAAGAGACTTGGCGGATGAGGAACTGACACCCAGCTATCACAAACACCTACATACTTCACTGCAGAAATCAGACCTAACACATTTGATATGCTCATTTCCTATTTGCAGTCTGGAGAAATGCAAGGTTGGCGGGCAAACAGTAATTTTCTACACCAATAAATATGTCCATTTCTCACCTTAGACCTGACTACATTTCAAAGGCAAAGCTAAGACTTTGCTCAAGCCCCTCGTTTACGACGGAGTGGGTACAGCATGGGCCTTGCAACAAGACCTGTCTATTGTTCTAGTTCTGCATTTTATATACTGTGAAACCTTAAGAAAGTTTGCTTAATTCCTGCACCTTCCGTCTCCTCTTCTGTAAAGTTGGGAGAGATCAGTACACACCTGTTGTGTTACTGCAAGGGGTGAAAAACATACTGCGAGTATAGCATCTACTAGGGTTTCTATGCTCAGAATAAGTACTCAACGTGTTGGGCATCTGATGCTCTTGTAATTATTCATATTGCTAATTGTTTAGGCTATTAGCTTCTTTTTTTTAAAGTTTATTTATTTATTTTTTGAGGGGGGTAGGGGCGAGAGAGAGAGAGAGAGAGAGAGAGAGAGAGAGAGACAGAGAGTGTATTCCAAGCAGGCTCCACGCTGAACCCTACGTAGGGCTGGATCTCATGACCCCAAGATCTTGAGCTGAGATCAAGAGTCAGGCACTTAACCGATTAGGCCATCCAAGTGCCCTTAGGCTATTAACTTCTATGCTGTTTTCTGTTCAAAAATTTCCCAGTTGAAGACAAGATTTTAACCCCAGAGTGACCTTCTTTGTGAAGGAACAGAGTCAAATTAAAGGTATGATGAAAAGATGATTCTTTATACAGAACAGGAAAATAACACTTTCCAGAGAGTGACCAAGTGTTTATCGATTTTCCTAAATTTTTAGAGTTTCTGTTGTGTGGAGTCCATAAACTCCAAGAAGACAAGGTTCTATGGTGGGTTAGGGTTGTCACATGCAGCCTACCTGTGGCTTAGCCAGACACACTGGAGTGGGAGACTCTGGAAAACCTGGTGTAAAAGATACATGTAAGATCTGGACAAATGGAAGTTTCTTCAATTTATAACCATGAAGTCCTTTTTGGAAGCAGTGTTCCCTTGGAATTTTCTTTGACAAGTGCTATACTATGAATATAGCCCTAGAAAAGTTCTTTTTGAATTTAATGATGCTTACTTATTTAGAGGATGCTAGTGGCTAATTTTAAGAGTTTGGACCGGTTACACATTTATACTTTAATGCATTAAATAAAAAACTTAGTCTTATAAAAAATCAGCTTCTCTACTGTTTTGAAATATAGATGTGATTCAGATGGCTCTGTGAACTAGAGCTTTCGTCTCAGGCAGCATGCACATCCCTTGAAATGACTCCAGCCTCTGACTGGGACAGACTTTGTGCCGAAGCTAACTTTTGGCACAGTTACAGTGTATTGTTCTTCTCACTTCAGTCCTTCCCATTCATTTTTGTATCAGGTTTCACTTTGTTGCATAGGAAACTCATTCTTTCTAAAAAGCCATCCCTTTAAAATATGTTTAAAACAACAAATTATCTGATGGGTAGATGCCACCAAAAGTTTATATTTTCATTTTTTTAAAGTTGTAAAATATATGTTTAATTAAAATAGAGGGGGAAAAGGACATACAGAAAAAGTCATCCAGTTTATGGTAAAAAAATATGAAAAAAAATCTGAAAACATCATTTTGCCAGAATAAATTTCTTAGGATATATCTTAATTTATAGATGGCATAAAGTGAATCTGCAGAAAAATTTGGGTCACATCTCAGAAAACTAGAAAGCTTCCATAGCTATATTTTATTTATAGCAACAGGGTAGTATTTAAATGGGAAGACATCAAGATATACGCACATATTAAAATTATATTTACCAAAATGCACACTTAAAATGGTTAAAATTGTATTTTGTTATATATATACATGCATATGTATATATATATATATATATATATATATATATATGTATACTCATTTTTCATAAAAAAGTTATATTTACCATGAAAATGAGTACCTAGTATTTTGGCTGAGGATTGTTGACAGCTCATGGAAAGAGTTATACTCCCTTCTATGTGAGATGTGATATAATATGAGCATCCCAAATTCTTTACAGCAGAACACAATTTTTATTTTATTTTTCAATTTAGTTTTTAAACTGTTGGTTTATTTATTTACTTAGCGTGTGCACACTGCGTGCTTGTGGGTGGGAGAGGGGCAGAGAGAGAAAGAGAGAGAGAATCCCAAGCAGGTTGCATGCTGTCAGTGCAGAGCCCAACTTGGGGCTTGATCCCATGAGCCTGATCATGACCTGAGCTGAAATCAAGAGTCAGACGCTTAACCAACTGAGCCTCCCAAGTGCCCTTAAATCTAATTTTTAAAACTGAGATATGTCACATACCAAAAAATTCATCCTTTTAAAGTGTACACTGCATGGTTTTTAGTGTATTCATAGACTTGTGGAACTTTCACCACTGTCTACTTCCAGAATGTTTCCTCACGCCAATACCATCCCAGGTACACCCTGTGCTGTGCCCGTCAGCAGTCACTCTTGCTACAGATCTACTTGCTGTTTTTATGGGCATTGTATACAAATGGAATAATATTAAATGTGGTCTTTTGTGTCTGGCTTCTTTTACTCAGCATCATGTCTTTAAGGTTCATCCATGTTATAGCATGTGTCAGTACTGTATTCCTTTTTTGGCTGAATAATCCATGGTATGGATAAATGACATTTTATTATCCATTCATCAGTTCATGGACATTTGGGTTATTTCCACTTCTCAGCTGTTATGAAAACTGTTGCTATGAACATCCATATACAAATTTCTGTGTGGACACATGTTTTCAATTCTCTTATGCAGATAACCTAGGAGTAATTTGCTGGGTCATACGGTAATTCTGTGTTTAACTTTTTGAATAACTACCTAACTGTGGTGCATAGTGCTGGCACTGCACCATTTTACATCCCAACAATGTGTGAGGTTATAAATCCAATTTTGTTTGTAAGTTATTACACATATTTAAAAAAATTTG